TATTAATATAAATATTAATAGTTACATAAACGTTAATATTGCCTAGGGTTTTTTTCATTGCAGCGAGCTTCAGTTTTTAGGTACAAGACCTTTCCCTCCTTCACTATGAGATTTTTCTTTTCCGCTAGCCAATTACCTTACTAACAGAAACAGCCTTTACTGCCTCCCAAAAAGATTGCTGCTACTTCAAAGATCATTCCATTTGGTTTAGTGAATGTGTCAGAGGACTGCTCAGATCAGGAGGAGATAGGCAAAACCTGGGGGTCAAATAAGATCCGAGCCAACATCCTTATCCCTTTGGCTTCCCATGCTCATTGGCTGGGGAGCCAATTGAATTTCTCTCAGATTATCTCAATTAAATACATCATCAGATGAGAGTTTTGTTTCATGTTTTAAATATGGTTCTGCAGACAAAATAGGTCGGGGCAGTTAAAACAGCAAGATACTGCTGTATCCTGCCTATACAGTGTATTGGATTTACACAAGCCATAAGGATTTCCTGACAGTTCACTCATTCTTCAGGGTAACAAGGTTGGAGGAAGCAGGCTTATCTTCTTGTTTAAAGTCAATAGAGTGCAAGCAGCTTGCAAATGTCTTTCTAACCCAGTTATCTTTCTCATTTTCACTTTTGAATGTTAGCGATACCTTTTCAAGTCAAAGCCACTTAACGTCAGCAAGCACTGACTTGATTTGCCTCTTCTTTTTATGTTTTTCCTTTTTAATTATATTGGAAAACTGCAGCTTGGGCCCAATTAAATTAATTTGGAATTTACTGCTATAATCTGAGTGGTACCGGAAAACCCGTTAGATTAGTTAATAATTCACTGCCCAGTCATTTATACCAGCTGTTTTGTCAATAGTGTTGCAATATTTTATGGCATGGAAAGCTGTACAATAATACATGTTAGTTGTATTTTATCAGTGATCGGAATTAAATATCAGTCTGAATATGTAGATGTAGGCGGTTGGTAGGGATATTTCTCCTTTAAGCAAAATATTGGCCCCGCGTTGAGGTCTGTGCTTACTGACATTCCTTACCAGCAGGACAGCAATGGATTCATAAGGATGGAGAGTCGTGACTGTAGCACACCTCCCACCCTTCAGACAACTCTGGAAACTCTAATGCAGTGGGGACTGTTTGACCACCTCCATCCACACTCGTGTGGTCTCATGTGCATCAGGCGCTGGTCATTTTCTTGAGAATAATGGGTGCTGGCGTGCCCACCACCAGGCCAAGAGTGTAAGACCTGACCAAGGATGATATTAACAATTAAGCTCCAACTTCATTTTGGATTATATTACCAAAAATGTCTGACATGCTACAGTGTCTCTGGAAGGAGGGTTAATGTAGATTACACATGGAAAGATAGAGGAAGGGGAAAATAAAAATAAAAAAAAAAATCCTTGGTCCCCGAGAACTGAAAGGTGACAAATGTGGCTAATTTTATAACGGGCTGCAAGGGGGTTCAGAAAACTACAAATTGGTAAATCAGAAGTCAGACAAATTACTTCCAAATTAAGAGCTAGTAATTAAGAGCTAGTGCCTGAACAGCTGTGACATGCCAGGGACGAGTCAACACAGCTTTTGTGCCAGGAAATCTTGTCTTACAAACCTATCACAGTGCTCTGAAGGACTTAACAAGTCGATGCTGTTATTGCAGCCTGTTAGGAGTTCAGAGAGGCTTTAGACAAAAGCCTTTCACCAAAGCCTCTTTAGGAGACTAAGCAGCTGTAGGATGAGAGAATATTGCATGGACAAAAAAGTGTGCTAAAAGATAAGAAGTACAACCAGGTATAAATCATCCACTTTATGCAGTGGAAGGAGATCTGCTGTGATGTATCCATGAGATGTGTCCTGGGGACTACACAATTCAGCATATGCATAAACAGCCTGGGAAGGGGAATAGTCTTGAATTTGCTGATGATATTAGTTAGGATGGTAGAGATGAAAGCTGGCTGTGAAGAACTGCAGAGGAACCTTCTGAGACAGCTGGACTGGGCATTAAGATGACAAATGGGATTCAGTCTGGAGCGATGCACATTCCAAACATCACATAGGAGATGATGGACTCCGAGCTGACTCTGACCATAGAGGAACAAGACTTCATATTGCAATAAATAGTCTCGTGAAAACGTCAGGTCAGTGCTCAAGAGTGGTCTAAAAGGTAAATAGGCTGTTAGAAATTACTAGGGAAGAAATAGGAAAACAAAACAAAGCACCAGTCGGCCTCTCTAAATCTGCAGCATGCTGCGTCTGAAACTGCGTGTGCGGTTTTTCCTACCCCTCCCTGATCTCAAGAAGGATAAAGCAGAATGAAAAAGGTTGAAAGAAAAGCAATAAGGTCGTTCAAAGTTTTGAAGGGACTCTGGCTGGAAAAGGAGAAAAAGAAGGAAAATGCGGCAGAAGCTGATAAAATCGTGAATGAAATAGAGTGAGTAGGGAGCAATTGCCCCCCAAAAAGACGTTATATAACGTTAGAAAGTGGCAGGTTTCAAACGAGCAGAAGGAGCTGCTCCCCAGACTGTGTCGATTACTTGCGAGTTCCTTTCCACTGAATGTTAGAGGTGCTAAAAATATCCGTGGAGCCGAGGGAAAGCCAGGAGACGAGGAAGGTATCATGTATGTGTGTTCACGTTCTTGCCCTTAAGCATTTTCTGCTGGCTGCTGTCAGGGGGACACAAGGCTAGAAGGGTGATAGGCTGACCCAGTGTGGTCTAGCTTGTGTTCTTAGAAAGGTGGGGTTGAAAACAAGATGTTCTGTCTACAGCATCCAACATCATGTAGGCGATGCCAGAATTGCTGTTGTGTTAGTCTGAGATGCTCTGATAAGCCAAGGAGACCTACACCGAGAAACCCAACTCCCATCATTGCTGTTGTTGCTAATAATAACTAATAATAATAAACTACAACACAGCAGTAATTTCGGGTGGCAGCCTCCGAAAGCCTTGTGAGCCTTTTCTGTTTGCTTGCCTGTTTATGTTAAAACCATTCCTGACAATTTAATAGCCCAGGCACAGAAACTATTTACCAAGCTCATTCACTTCAATGAGTAATAAGTGAGTGAGCAATTGGAAATTTCAAAGGCTGCAGTAACATCACTCAAAGAGCTGACAGCAGTAATTTCGGGTGGCAGCCTCCGAAAGCCTTGTGAGCCTTTTCTGTTTGCTTGCCTGTTTATGTTAAAACCATTCCTGACAATTTAATAGCCCAGGCACAGAAACTATTTACCAAGCTCATTCACTTCAATGAGTAATAAGTGAGTGAGCAATTGGAAATTTCAAAGGCTGCAGTAACATCACTCAAAGAGCTGTGTCTTTATCCCTTTGCTTTCCATGGCTGGCTGGTGTAGGGCCAGATGATGGGGTATAGGAGCTGGCTGTTTCAGAAGTACCTTAATTGGCCTGACATTGCTTTCCTCCACTCTACCTTTTCTCAGATTGCTATTGAGGTGAATTTATAAAATGTGTTTCTGTGCAGAGGAACGGTACTGCTTAAATACAGCAGCTGCACAGAAATATTTGGGTAGCCTGCTGCCTTCCGGCATGATCAAAAATAGGTGCAGGAAGTTGTTCCACTGCTTCAGAGCAGCACAGTTAGCTTTGTATATTCAGGCAGATACTATCTAAGAAAACAGTGAAATGCCGAGAATCGTTTTGCTCTTTATTTGCGAGTGCAGTGGTAGCCCTATCTTCCAGTTGGAAAGCTTTACAAAAGCCAATAAAGTAACAAGAGGCTGTGAACATCATTCTAACCCATTTATTTTTCCTGTGTTCCCTATATTGTTAGTGATCCCTTGTTAAGTCAAACTGACTTAACACAGCTGAAGAGCAATTTTATCTATTTTTGTTGGAGAGCTGAGATTCCAGCGCAGCTGATGTAACTTGCAGCTTGTGAGCATAATCTTGGAAAAACGAATCAATTCTTTTCTGAAACTTCTTACCTAGTTCATTCTATGGAGAATAAACTTTGCAAAAGCCCACACATGACACCACCTAATCCGTAAGTGTGAAATTGGGATGTATCAGTTAGTGGTAATTCATACTTTTCTCAAAGCTCTCTTACTGGCATACCCTGATAAGAGATTACACGGAATAGCGTCATCGTCTTTCTTTGTGGCAGCCACCGCTCTCCGTGCAATCCAGAAGTCTGGTGAGCAACTATCACAAAATAGAGGGCTGTCGTGGTGATGCTCAGTAACTGTAACACAGGTCCTGGATCCTCGCAGGAGGCAATGGAATCATTCCACTGATTTTTGTGGAAATAAAACACCGTACTACTGTATCAGGATTGGTATCAGCATACTTGAGTTGTTTGTGATATTTGGGATTGGATCCATAGCTAGAATAAACCAGCCATCCTCAATGGTTTCTCTGGTTTTACTACAACTATTAAGCTTGTTGAATCTAAGGACAGACAAGACTGTTTGGATCAAGTAGTAGAATTTCATGCACAATTCATTATTTCATGCATAGCTTTTCTTGGCAGAGCTATAGGCAGCCTCTTGATTTACAGCTCATTATGACTGAAAGTTGTCTGCTCTAAATTTATCCTCCATCTAGGAATGTACAAACCGGTGCTGTAACGCAACTACCTGTACTTTGAAACCGGGAGCGGTGTGTGCACATGGACTTTGCTGCGAAGACTGCCAGGTGAACCAACAGAAACATTTCTTATCTGTGTGGGGTGGGAAGAATTCCATAATCTTCTCAACTGCAGAGCAGTAAGCAAGGGTGCAGAACAAGCAAATTGGTATCATTAAGCATTAAGACACTGGCGTTTCATGTAAGCAATTCAAAAAATTCTCAAACTGTAACAGTTATTGAAGGAGCAGATCAACAGACTTTTTTAATGGTGTCTGTGCTATTTGTAGCCACTTCATTTGCTCGTGCAAAACCTCTTCTTTTTTCATGAACTTTTATATGCTTTGATTTTTTTCATGCTTATATGGATGTTGTGCTCTGGCAAGCAGTCATTAAATGGTGGACCCTCTTTTTATGGGAAGACTCTTAAAATATTAATTCTGTCAACAGCATATATATTTTTAATGGCAGATCATCAGCTCTTGTGGACTCCTAACGTACTTGCCTCAGGCATTTGCCTTCCTGAATTCTCAGACCATCTCTTGCATAAGGGCTAATAAAGCATTCAGCAAGTTTCCATTGTGTCTGTGGCAACCATCTGCCTAAAAGCTCAGTAGCAGCAAGCTATCAAAACAGCTAGCAAATGCTTTTTAGCAAAATCAATCTTCATGTCTCTTCGCTTTTTACTGAAGGCACTGTAGTGATGCAGTTAAAATGCAGTGCTGCTCCCAGAGCACACCCATCTTTTGTGGTTGTTGTTGATAAGTGAATGTTCAGATTGGCACGTTCCACCGTTGCCTACTAGTTGCCTTCAGCTCTGAAAAAAGGTAGTAATCCAGGGAAACCAGGACAGGACAGGAACAGTTACACGGACTAGTTGTATAATTAAGTTGAAGAAGATCTTGATGCCAATGACAGAGCAACATTTCCATGAGGAAACGCACCTCCACCCCAGGAAGCCGTCAGGCAGCTGAATCCAGAGTCAGGTGGGCCGGTGGCTTTGTGAGCCATAACATAACACATAACGTAATGGTACGTGATCGGCTGGCTGCCCTGCTCACTGCATGTGGATGAAAAGGTTTCTGGTCTGACTTGGTCAGTGCTACAGAGCATCCTTCCCAGTACAGCCCAAACTGTTTCTGTGCCATGTTTAGGCATGATTGCAGGAGCCACACTGAAAAATTTGGTTCTAAAAAATTTGAAAGACTAACGAAAGGCTGGATTTACCTTCCGACCTGAGCCACGTGAGTCATGGTTGCAGCTGCAACTTCAGTTTGGCCCACCTTCCTGCCAAACCCTTCGCAACCTGTGTCAAATAAATATACTTAAAGAGCTGTGTAATCCTTATACTGTCCTTTACAGTCAGTTGGTGTAGAGCCAGTGGAAAAAGCTGTTCGTGTGCTGCATGGGTTATACCGCTGCATAACTCTTATTGATTGGAATTATAGCAGTTAAGGGGTTTTGTTTGTTTTGCAGTTAAAACCAGCGGGGATTTCTTGCAGAGAGTCAAGTAATTCCTGTGATCTGCCAGAGTTCTGCACAGGAGCCAGCCCTCACTGCCCAGCTAACGTGTACCTGCACGACGGGCACGCGTGCCACAGGGTGGACGGCTATTGCTACAACGGCATATGCCAGACCCACGAGCAGCAGTGTATCACCCTCTGGGGCCAAGGTGAGTTTGAGAACCAGGAGATCTCTTTATGAGATAGACTTGGGAAAAAAAAAGCGTGTGATTATAGAAGGATTTGGAGGAATTTTGTACAGTACCAATCTGTATCTATTCTTTTCTGAAATGGAGAACTGAATAATGAGGGAATCATTCTGTGTTTCATTTTATCCTTGATTTGCAGTTGTGTTCATTTCTCGCAGCAGAAGGTAGAGAGCAACAGTAACTGGGTTCGTTCTGCAACACTGCTGCAAATGGCTATGTGAACTTAGACAAATCATTTAATACTGACTTTGATATGGCCTTATGTCATCCTACAAAGTGCTGAATGCTCTTGACAGGTTGAAATCACATCCCTTTTCAGGCTGGTATGTAAGCTTCCTTCTGTGCTCTAAATTGCTCATCTGCAAAACATATACATCTGTCTACATCCCAAAACAGAGTTCAATATTTGACATAAACATAAGATTTTTGTATCGTTGTGTGTATTTTATTAATTGGTGTTACCCTGTAAATCTGCCTTCTGACAGTACTCTTAGCAGAGTATGAACTAAAGCAGAAGGAGATTTTATTCTCCCATGGGAATTTACTTACTTTTTGCAAAAAATCTAATAGCATGAGTTCTTGGGTTATCCTAAACAGATGATATCCCAGGAAAGCTGTTCAGCTTTCTGTTACGTCCTGTGGCCCTTCCACTGAAACATGAGTATTAACTCAGCATTTTGCCGTTATGTCCAGCATCGCTGGGGACAAGTCGTGTCTCCTTCAGCATCTCCTTTGCCCCCTCGCTCACATGGAAAAAACACTTTGAAGTCTCCTGAAGAGAAGCATTATTTAGAGCTAGATTTAACTGTTTCTTTTAAACTAACATTTTCCACTCCCTTAGCCTCTTTCAATTCAGTATCTCTCTGCCTTTAACTCTGTTTCAAAACCTATATATCAATGTAATGACACACAGATGTTTCCCTTGGTCAAAACCCTCATCAGAAGTCTATTGAAGAATTTATCTGTTATCTTCACAAGGACTTGGACTATTCAAAACTTTTGTTTTAAAGAGATCTGAAGAAATAAAGCCACTGATGCAGATAGGTTAGCTTGGTCATGTGGGTATAAGAACATGTAGAGGAGTTCCAGTTCAAAATTAAACTCCCCACGTGGAACAAACCATGCATCTGATATACTCCTCCGAATCCCACTCGCATCGTAGAGTTAACATGAGCTCATATAGGCATGTACAATTATAGCCTCCAGTCTTAGTCATACTGGGAGTTTTAATCCCCTGGATACAGAGACATTTTCTCTTGTATAAAGCAAAATCTCCTTATGAACCAGTTTCCCATGCCATGGAAAGTTACTCGGTAGGACTGTTAATAATTTCAGTCACTGAGAAAAATTCAGCTAAAGGTCAGGGAGCTGAATTGCTGCAGCTCCCTTGCCAGGTCTGTTTCCTAATGTAGCATGTCCTCCAAACCCCCCGGGCTCCCCTAATTCTGTCTTGTTTTTCTTCTTGGAGGAATATTCAATATGGGCACTGCTGTGCATGGAGTCTCCAGTGGTCAAGGCTATGGGGGTCTGCTTATGAGAAAGATGACTTTGTTAAAAACAAAGCTCAAACAGACTTTAACTGGAATACCCTTATTTGTCTTGGGAATACCCAAGGATAAAGATTTTGAAAGGGAGGATGGGACATTACCAAACCTGAACTGAAAGGCTTGATTCTGATCACATTGTTGGAAATATAAATTAGAAATAATGCCAGTAAAGTAAGCCTTCAAGCAGTTTAGCAGATAGGGTTCAAGCAAAAACCAAGGCCTATATTCTGGATTTAAAGACTAGGGATGTGAATATCCACCACTTGATCACATCTGGTTGGAGTATGAGCTGGCAGATGCAGGGTGGAACGGGAAGAGGGCTAGGTGGGCCACGTAGTTGGAAAAATACCATGGGACAGATAAAAAAACTTTCCTTCCAGCCTTGCTTGCAGCAGAAAGAGAGACTTGGCATTCTAAGATGTTGTCTCTGGGCATCGTATCAAAAAGATGCATTTGAACCTTTTACCAGACTGTTGCAATTGATTAAAATTGTTTTTAACAACTGCGTGTGTTGGAGTGGAGTGAAGGAGTAGTTGTGTGGGTTTTTTAAAAAAAATTCTATACCGTAAAGAGAAAACAGATCATCGTTCATTGACATTAATTCCTTTTTTTCTTCTTCCCAGTAGGAGAAAGCCATGCAGAACAAAATACAATAACTTTTCTTAAAATAATACTGAATTCCTTCTCAATGTCTTCTTTTGTATATCTTTTTTATTCATCAGATTACAGATGTCCAGTAGCCCAATGATAAACATCAATCTTAATATTTTTAGATCTAGCTAAAGAAAAATGATGAGCACTGTCAGAGCTTTTTACGTTAGGCTGAGCAATAGCTTTGCCTAATTAGCAAATCCTCTTTCCTGTTTCCAGAAAGAAGTACTTGCATTTCTTTGGGGTTTTTTGTTACTTTCAACAGATAAATTCAAATCAAATCGAGGAATATATTTTGCTATTTGCTATCTGCAATAGCATGGAAAGCTTGGTGTGAAAGAGGGGAGGAGCCCCTGGGGACAGTCTTGGAAACTAGCCATAAATTCCTCTTAAAGACCAAATTCATTCCCGGAACACACAAATTTCTCTTTCTCTCTCACCTTAATTCATGTCATTTTTCTCTTTAAGAAGCAACATGCATTAATTGCTTGTGACCTTTTTTGTTTCATATTCAAAAATATCGAATTGCACTGATCTGGCCTGCTGATAGCGTGGCTGAAAGACACATCGATAGTAATGCGTCTGTGTAATGTCTGGTCTCCATTGGCATTTTCTGGGAGCAACTAGATACACAGATAAAGCTACTTAAGAGAGAGAAATTATTGATTACCAAGAAATAGATGATTCTCAGCTTTAGACTCACGACTTTTTCTACATTGACGAGAAAATTATTCTTTAGGAAAGGAAAGGAAATGTTTGTCAGTGTGTTTTCCTACTTTTCCCCCAGAGGGAAAAAAGCAATGATTTGGGGGAGTCAATTGCAGGCATTGACTTAATAATTAGAACATACTTAAATTTGTTGCATAGACATGGCCATTTGTTTAGGCAGGAACAATCTTAATTTTGATGTCAATATTTGTTACAAAGGCCTGTCACTGGTGTAAGAGCTTTGCAGTTCTTTCCAGGTACAACCCTATAGGCAAAATAGATGGAATTCCCATCTAAGTTAGCTGACCAAACCATTGCTAACTGTTTTTTGCAAAAATACTAATTTATCCAAGCACTGTAAAGATTTGAATTCAGTAAAATCAAACTGTTTGAACATCACAGATTTATGGCCAGGCCTTTTCTTTTGGAGATGTGAAAGGCATTAAGCCCTATTCTTAGAGGTGCTGAGAGCTAGCATACTCCTTAAATGCAAAAAGTAACAGCTCAACCCCGTCTCGCTCTTGCACAGACTTAACAACAGGGATCACCGAGATGAAGAGAGAGGCCAAGGGGAGCTTGTGGAAAGTTTGCTTTGCATCATCAGTGCAGTAAAACAGACTTAAGGAGATATAAAATCCAGGTGCAAATCACATGACAGAGAACTGTATTTTTATGCTTATATTTATTTATACAGTTGTTCGTGGTGCTAGTTGGCATAGCCTGAGCAACAGAACTCCAGTCTGTTACTCAGAGGTTGGGGTTTTTTTTCCCCCTCCACACCCATAAACACTGTATAATGTTTTTTTAAATAAGTCTTGAGACAATGTTGGGAACTGAATTGAAATTTTCCACTGTCAGCCTGATAACGGGTGTTTCTCTGTTCTTGGAATCAGCACCATGGTCAGAAATTTCTCTCTTCTCTTTCGGGAGACCATGACAGTATTTTCTCCTTGCAGCAGGTCTCGCACTGATCTGAAATGATACAACATTTCTGTATTACTTCCAAAAGCATAGAACATCTCTTTTTTTGCAACCGAATAGGGAAGAAGTGGGGTCATCAATATACACATTTGGAGAAAAAAAAAGTCTCCAGGCTGATAACTGCAGTGATGAGCTTTGACCTTCTGCAGTTTCAAACGGCTGATTTAATCCCTTGAATAAGGCTTGGCGTGGAAAGGCTGGCAGGACCTTAATTACAGGGTCATGATACTATAATTATCAATAGCAAAGTGAAATAAACTCTGCTCATCCAGCTTAAAGCACTTAATAACCACTGGAAATCTTTCACAAATCATTTTGCCTTTGCCTGTAGAGGTAGCAAAATAGAGAAAGACAGGACTTTCTGCTTCAGTTTATGTGGTACAATCATGATAAATGGGTTTCCTCCAGAAACACAATATTACAATTCTCCTCCTTAAGCATCCTCTGAAAACCTCCTTTTAACTTGGTAGCTCCATCTGTTCAGCTTCTTACACTCTGATATGTTTTCATCTATAAAAAGTCCAAATATTGTGAGAAACCAGTCAGGAGAGAGAACAGCATCTGAATCCCAAGCAACAACGTGTTTTGGTTTGATACCAAAGACAGAAATTGAAGCTAGATTTTGGTTTCCAAGCCGCAGATGATCATTGGGTACCAGGTGTTTTCATGCACAGACTACTCCGAGCCTGGCAGGGGAGCATTTTTTTGTGCTCCATGAGATCTGTTTTCTTGTCAAGTATTATTGGTTGGCGTTAAAGCTCACCGCAAGCCCTGCAAGGATGCTGCAGATGTGTTCTTCTTCCTGCAGGCTGCTTTCCATCATGTGTAGCACACTTGACTTCTACATTCAAAAAAACCAACCAAACAAAAAAATCTTTCACCAGGTGAAAGAGGAAGATAAATAGCTTAAACTCTCTTGGTACTTCAGTGAGCCCTTTCCCCCCTTAACACCATGGGTTTTTAATAAGTCTTTGTTAGGTCACTTACAGTCAAAGCACGGGACATGAGCATTCATTTTGCTTTTGGCAGCTTTTGGAGCCACACACCACGCTGGGGAAAGTGTGTCTGTGCTCTGGGCTGCTGCTGACACATCTCCAAGGAAGCCTCCAGCCATTGCAATGACACGCCGTTGCTGAACTGGTTGGGGCACAGGGCTCCCAGCCAAGAAAAAACCAAGACCCATAGCAATTGCATATGATCATGGTAGATGGGGGGGAGGGCTTATTCCTTTGGCGAAGTAGGTCTGAGCAAGACGGTCTTTGCAGATGTGGGAGAAAAAGCAGTTTTACTTGGCCTCTTGCTTAAAGCATGTTTTTTTCATTCCCTTCCCTTCCCTTCCAAAGCTGGCACAGTATATGCACATGTTAATGTTTGTATCAAGCTGAATAGTTAATGTGCCTGCCCTGGAAAGACGAGGAGGAATCTACAGGCTGCAAATGGAAATTTTACTTTTGCTTTTTGCACAGTGCCTTGTCTGGATGCTTTTGTTGATTTTTTGATTATTGCTTGTGGTTTAATGAAAAGAAGTGAAAGAATCCTGTGTGAGTCCCTTTTAATAGTTCCAGATTTGAGAAATATTCTGAACTCAGCAAGCTTGATCGTAATCTTCCGAAGAATTTCAAGCTCTTGTCCTGCTCTCCAGGGAACCAGCAGCTCATATTCTGTTCCTTCTGTGCCTTTCTTTCTGAGTTTTGCAGTTTCAGTATGTAAAAATGTTAGAAGGAAAAGAGGGTGCCATCTTAAGCCTCACCAAGTTTTAATACTTTGTCCTTAATAGCATTAGATTGCTGTTCAGCAGTATACAGTATTAGTCAAGCTTCTGACTGTGAAATGCAGATAATTAATTGAGGCTTTAATCTTTGAGTTATTAGTGAAAAGATCCACACTAACTGGAAGTTTTACAATCATACTTGTATTTTCTTCTCCAGGAATTTGACCCCTTTTTTTTTTTTAAACCTTCTTCCTCTTTGAAGGCTTTCAAATGAAATCTTCAGGATGGTTTAAATAAATGATATGTTTTACCCACAGTTAGAGGTATACACACTTGGAAGTGGCTCAAAACATTTAAAAAAAATGTAACGTTAACTCAGGTATTCTGTCTTTGCTAAAAATCAGGGAACACTGCAGAAATGGTATATTCTCAGCCTTTAGGCTGTCACATCATTTGTTGCCAGTTCTTTTTGTTTTAGTTTGGCTGATCTGTCAAAAGTACAAAAATATATCTAGCAGATAGCTGTTAAGAGTTTTAGCCAGTGTATCTCCTTACGACCTCGTCTCCTCAAAGCAAGGCTGTCCATTGGAGTAGTTGAAATGTGGGCGATGACTTGATTGTGCTATTAATTATCTTCATGGAAAGAAAATGGGGGTAGTAAAGGGCCCTAGCAAAGGGCCTCTTAATCTTACAAAGAGCAGCTGGAAATAAAAGCCACACTTCACATTAGAACAAATGAATTGAATTCTAATACATGGACTAATTAATCATTGCAACAGTCAAACCAGGGAAGTAGATCCTCCACTTCTTAGACATTTCAGATGAACGCATGTATCTTCCCCTAGAAGATATACGATACTTGGTCGTAATCTGGGAAAAAATGGACGGGAGATTGTCTGTATAAGACATTAGAATAGATGTTCTAATAGTACCTTTTAACTTCTAAAATGTAGGGATGAGTAATCTGTCTGCACTAACATTTCCAGTACTACTCCCATCAGGGAAGTTCCTTTGCTGTTAGGACATGTCTCCATCATAAAAGGCTACGGTAGATAAGAACCAGATGCTGCCTTGTCTTCCCAGATTCCTCTTCTACCACCATGGTAGAAAAGACCCTTCTTTCAAGTCAGTCTTTCCTCGCAGGAATGAATTTACTGAGGATTAAGGTGGGGATGGGTTCTCTTCCTCTCCCCAGTACATTAGCTTGAGCTAACAGCAGCATATTCTCTTTGCCATGTCATGTGTTCGTGTTTTTAGTCACATAGCACTCTAGTTTGCAACTGGATTTTTTCTGGTTTCTTGTTGTTCTGAATTGCACCGAAAAAGGCCTTTCTTGAAAAGTATTTTCTTTGGCTTCAGCTCTTGGGCTCTCGCTAGAATCATGTGGACTCCTGTAAAAAGAAGGGAGTTAACTTACCAGCTGGCCTTTGTCTTTCTTCACCAAAGTAGATTTGGCATTTGCTAAAAGTTTTTGTGTCCTTGGAGGATTCACAAGAGGGATATCATCTAGAGAAATTCTGAAAGAGAATGAGTTCTGCATTGTCTATTGCTCAGCATTGCCAAGACAGACAAATAACAGTGGAAAACCCGCACATTCAGGCTCTTCAATTAGCATGCTGATCCAGCACAACTCTTTTGTTGTGCTTCATCAATATGCAGATCACATCTTACCTTCCCCTAAAGCATCAGTGGAATGAGAAGAAAATTATTAAAAACACCTTGTATGAGATGAAAGTTCTGATTAGGTTTTGTTTCAGGTGCGAAACCTGCTCCTGGGATCTGCTTTGAGAGAGTCAATTCTGCAGGTGATCCGTACGGCAACTGTGGCAAAGACTCCAAGAGCTCCTTTGCTAAATGTGAACCCAGGTAGGGTCTCTCCCTACGAACGCAGGAACAGATGCGAGGGATGGTGGGAGAGGGCTTATAACATTTAAAATTATTTAACTAATTTTTGGTTTTGTTTACTTCCTTCAGAGATGCTAAATGTGGAAAAATTCAGTGTCAAGGGGGAGCAAATCGACCTGTAATTGGTACCAATGCTGTTTCCATAGAAACTAATATCCCACTTCAGGAAGGTGGCAAGATTCTGTGCCGTGGTACCCACGTGTATTTGGGTGATGATATGCCCGATCCTGGTCTTGTGCTGTCAGGAACCAAGTGTGAAGATGGAAAAGTAAGGTTCTGAAATACTCCCAAACAAGGAGAACATCACTACCCTCATGCTGCAAAGTATTTTGGACTAAACTGACTGGGTTTTGCTTTGGGATTTTTTTTTTGTCCAGAAAAGAATTGTTTCTCATGCTCACACTGAGTCAGATTTTTACTCCCTTCTCCTTTTGGCCACTGTTCTGGATTACAGATTTGCAGATGCAATGCAAGTTGCTTAGGTTTATAACTGATTTTTTGAGGACAGTCCCAAGTATCTGTCCGTGTAGGCTAGAGGTTTTCTGCAAAATAAGTACAGCAAAATACATTACAGGATCATTAATGAATTTCTGAGGAGTTCAATGTATTCACTTTCCCAGTGTCTAATGGCATTGCAAAATTGTCATTAACTTCACTTTAGGTTTCAAAATGTATTATATCAACTGATTATGGTTCCCCCTCCCCCCCCCCCCCTTTTTTTTTTTCTTGCAGGAAAATCTATCTCTCTATGCACTGATAGAAAAATAAAAATATAAACCCATTGATGTTCAGCCACCAGAACCGATTTTTGCAATTGTATTTTGCAAACTTTGTGAATTATCCAATGTGAATGTAGTCCAAATTTCATATAGCTGTCTCATTCTTACTTTTTCTTTTGTGAGAAAAGGAACAGAAAAAGATGGGAGACAGCCGTGAGTTTACAGGGGGGGAGGAATGGAAAGGAGTCCAGGAACTATTGAAATGAAGAAAGTTTCCATACCCTCAGTGGATTACTTGCAAAAAGAAAAAAAAAAGTGCTTTGATAATTTGTGGTAAATTCAAGTAAGCCTCTGGATTTCTGAATGCTTTTGATTTATGTTGGATTATCACACTGCGTTGGGAACAGGTTTAAAATACATCCCTAGTGAAACTACAGTTCTGTTACAGGAAAACAACCCTTACAACATTTCTAAGTCAATCTGTTATAAAATGTCTTTTCAAAGAAAATTCAACGCTGGGAAAGCACTCCATTATGTTTTACTAATGAGTATTTAATCTTTCTAATCTATCTAATCATACACATACATACTATAGAATACACAGGCTAATACTTATGAAATTGTATGTTTTACTTTGAGGACATTAGTGCGTTTGTATTATGGATTAAGAATATGAATTTAAATATTCTTGAGTTTTCTAAGCTGAAGATACACAATTTGAAATGCAGCCATTTTAATGTGATCAAAATTCTGTGTGCTACTGCACTATGAATATTTGAATTGTGAATACTGCTGTAATCAGACCATATTCTCTACATGCGTGCATGTTGATGCTAATTCACTCCAATTTCCTTTCCATTTTTCCTTCTCCCCAGGGGATAAGTGCCCTGATTAAGCATCCCTGTCGTCTCCTTCAACATTATTCCCTGCTTAATGCTAATTATTGTGACTGACTTTTAGTACTACTGAACTGAACTGCAGTTAAACATGAGCAAAATTGTGCAGTGATTTTTTTTTTCTTTTTTTTTTTTTTTTTGTCAACATGGCATAGTAACAGTTATTCCAGTCCTAATTTCTTCTTTTTTCAGTTGTGAGTAGGATAACTTCTCATTACTAACATTTTCATCAGTCATTTGATTGTTTGATGGTATTGTTAAATAGTACTAATCTTGCTTTACCTCAATTTTCAGCTATATTGGCAGAGTAAAGTTTATCCGTAATGACTGGAAAACAAAAAAAATTGAATTTTATTACTTTGCATAGGCTATTTGTTTACTTCCATTTCCTATAAGATTATTATTACACTTTAAATATGGTTGGGTTATATTTGACACCAAAAAAACTGTTTCGCTTGGGAAAACTCTTAGAAAGGTCTCCGTTTTGCTGAACAACAATGATGAGCGCATATATATCAATGACCTCAGTTAAATATTCAGGCTGTCCTGGGTCCAAGTTCTGTACTAGCACGATAAAGTATTGCACTGCTGGTATAAACAGAACTTGCTAATTTACACCATGAGGTGACCTGAACCTTTCCTTGAGGAATCATCTGCTGCTGTGAAGACATGAATGCAGCCAGATCAGGAAAAATCCTGCTCAGTGCATTCCCAGTCCTGAAAAAAATGCACATTACTGTTTTTTAAATTGGCTTAAAAAACCCCCAAACCCCAGCGGCTCACCACTAGTTCCACTTCAGTGAAACTGTGAGTGTTTATTTGCACAAGCTCAGCATATCAACCAAATAGGAACTATGTCTGAAATTCAGTATGGGCTAGGATGCCGATCGAGAGAGAATTCAACCTCTACACATTTGGACCTAAAAGAAAGGCATAAGAAGACGACGACACCTAATTCTGGTGTCCTTATCTTTTTGTCAATGTAACGTTGTCAATGCAGCGTGTGTATTGGGAAATCTTTAACTGCTAAAAGAACCATTGATGGATGAGCAGAATACAGAGAGGGACGTGATGCCTTGTGAGCACCAGCAGTGCTGTCCCTATTAAAACTCCTTTTCTCTTATTTTGCAGATTTGCCTCAATCGCCAGTGCCAGAATACAAGTGTTTTTGGTGTACACAAATGTGCAACAAAGTGCCATGGACGTGGAGTAAGCATTATAGGAACACTTTTTTTACAATCAGTCAATAAACAATGGGCAAGAAATCATTTTACGTAATAGTTTTGGGATCTATGATTGTTTGTAATATATCAGTCAAAGTCACTACAATACTTTTTTATTATGTATTTCCATTTTCAGTGTCCCTTATATGAACTGCAAGAAATGAAATCATTTTTATTTAACGAAGAAATATTTATCAAGTAGTAATTATCTTGTTCTTAATTAGCAGTCTGTGATAAAAAGGAATTTTGTCATCTTCAAAGAATTTTAAGTCTAACCTTCCTTCATGAAGAAGTCCCATTAACATTTCAAAAAATACAGTTTCTATATGGATACAGAGAAGTTAAAATATGTATTTGAATTAAGAGTCAAATGGAAAGGCATTTCCAAAAGTATTAAAATAAAGAAAAACCATATTGGTGAGTTTCATGGTATGAAAGTGGTGCAGGATGAAAAATTTGATGATATCAGTTAATAATATCAAAGTGTTTTGAAACCTAATTTATATTATGAAAATGTTAATTATGTCAAGCTATGCCTTATTAACCTTGGTTTGGCAATGATCTGTTTGTTTCTGTGAAAAGCTGTGGCAACCACATTGGAAGAGCCATAGGAAATTCTCTGTCCTTTCTTGAGAAGGGATTTTAATTCGCTTTAACTCATTTTATCATCCGGCATTTGAAAAACTGTGCGGTGTTGGTGGTGCTGCATGTTATCCTTGTGCTGGAACGAGCATCAGCTTAGACTGGCATCTTTATATCTGTACAATGGAGAACCTCTGGTGACTCCTGAGTAGCAAAAAATGACCTTGTGGAATTGTAGATGGGAACTCCTGTAGTGCTTTAATTTAAAAAATAATGCTTAACGAATTATATTTTTAATTATCTTACTGTATTTGAAAAGTAAATCTTTTTTTTTTTTTTTTGCATTTTACATGAGACCATAGCCGGTCTGAGCTATGTGAATGATATTTTAATACTCTGCAGACACAGCCAGTATAGTCTTTCTGAAAGCCTGCCGGCTGACCTTGCCAGAAAAATGCATATTTGCAAACTTCTGTGAACTAACTAGTGTCTTACTGAGAAACCCGTTTATTAACCTATTGTGGGGTTTCTCCATGGTGGTGATAGATCAGTGATGATTGGTGTTAGCGCAGAATTTAGGACCATATTGACAACTAGCCCTAAGGCCAAAAACTTTATTTAAAAATCAGTTTGAGCATCTACATGTGACTGTGCCATCTCTCTCCTGTGCAACAAAATTTTTGGCCTGTCTGTCGATACAGCACGGAGCTTTAGCCTCTGTATTAGTCACCTAGCCACTGCTTGGGTGGTAGCAAAAGGAAATCAAAAGCAGCCCTTCTTCTGATGGGTGTTTGGGACTGTGGGACCTCCTGAGGAAAAAGCCATGAGTCTACCGGCTCCTTCTGCTCTGTGCAGTGGGAACAGGCTGATGTTAATGATGGACTCCAGTCCTTTGGAGCTCTCTTATTCTGCAGGGAGCATTTGGTAAATCAGGTCTTGCTGGTTGTTCGTTATTAAAACCACCAGAACACTGAGGACCGTATCTTTATAGACAGCGCAGGTGTGGTATCAAAGGGAGGGTTTCCTCAGCCCTGATTCCAGTTTCACATGTTCTTCCAGCGACGGATTCATCTTACAGCTGGGGGATCTGAGCAGTGGAAAAATGCGTATGCAGGCTAGTGCAAGCCCTTGATGGATAGGAGTGTTCAAGTGGGCTGACAAAGCTTTACAGCATTAACAGCGTAGAGAGACTCTTGTTCCTATGAAGGCAGAAGGAACAGAAGTTAGAAAGCAGACGACGTTGCTGCTGGAGGCAAAGAGAGAATAAGACTTGAGTTGTGTGATTATCCTTATATTATTGAAGTTGTCAGCTGGTGCAACTCAAACAATTACCTGCCAAATAAATAATGCTTTTTTAGGATCCCTGTTGCTTCATGGTGTCTCGCACTCAGAGTTGCTCTATGCCATCTCAGTTGTGCCCATAGGCAGATACCAGCACATCTCTTTTCTTCTCTGAGCTTTATTTCTTTTAGATGTGTCGCTATCTGATTAGGAGGCCTTATCAGCTGCTGCTGTTCTCAGGTGTATAAGGTAATCCTTTCCACATTAGGTCTTTTGTCTTCTTTTGCAGGTCTGCAACAATAAAAAGAACTGTCACTGCGAGGCTGACTGGGCCCCCCCGTACTGCGACAAGCCAGGGTTTGGTGGCAGCGTGGACAGCGGACCGATTAGGCAAGCAGGTTAGTAGTAATGCATGCTTTGCTTGTTGTTTCCATGATAGAGAGTGGAAACACAAAGTGTCGTCTTGTAAGCAATGAGCTTACAAGATTGGGAAATACGTCAGTAAATCAAATAATAGCTTAATCCAAACGCATTGACACCAACGTGAAAATTTCGTGAAGCAAAACCAAGGCTAGCTGAGTGCATCAATTTTCTGGCATAACTAAAGGCACAGTGGTCCTGGTGGGTTCTTTTCTTTGCCTTGCTTTACCTTTCGGTTTTTTTCAAGATACATGGTCAAGTTTAGTAGCTCACTGCAATAAGTAAGAAATGGTATTGATTTAAGCCGAGGATGAGGAGCTAACTCCCACACTTGAGCTAATCCTGTTGCCATGGTAGATGAATATTGCCGTACTCTTGGATTCACCTTGAGATACGCCAAGCTCCAGTGTCCTCCACTGAGTGCATCGGGATAGAACTACCTTGTTGTACACATAACCTGCTTCTGTAGTTGTGTGCCTAATGAAGAGCAGATGTTGCAATGATTATAAATGCAAAATTACTGCATAATCAAAAATCAAAAATATATTTGATATTGTGCTTCTAAGGAGGATCTTTTGTATTGTGGAAAAGAGCAGATTTCTGACCGTATCAGATTAAAACTACATTTTATAGATAGCTTACACACATTTACCAGAAGTTGCCCTCACCTATGATAGTAGTAGGAGACGTGCATTTTCTGTAATTTGTACTTCAATTTCCCCTTGTTCAGTCTGCAGAACATTGGCTATAGTATCTTACTTCACCTTTGGCCAACCTCAGAAAGAATTATTTCTACGTATTGTGAACTTTATAGGATTTGATAATCATCACGTGCCAATTTTTCTCCAGAGCACTGTAATTTTAGTGACTTCCAGTTTCTGATTTATGTCTGAGCAAGGGAAAAGACAAGCAGTATACTCACATATACATATATAAACTAAAACTTACTGGAAAATTATCTGCATGTTTTCATACGAATAATGCTATTCAAAACCAAAATGGATTGTATTCTCTACGTGCCAGATCCTGCAGTGAATTGTAATCCTGGATTTATGACACCATGGTCATTTCCACGACAAAGCTTCACATTATGATTTCACTGTTGAAAGATCTTTTTTTTTAAGTACCTACAAGTCGGTAAGATAGCGAAGAAACCGTGCTCAGGCCATGAACAAGTGTGATTACCTGTGTGTGAAATGTTTTCTTTTAAGATTTGCTCTAAAGCATTATAGTCTTTTTTCAGCTTACCTGAAAGCTAAGTATCCATGGAGCTACAAAATATATTACAATAATGTGCTGCATAGACAACACTAACTGGAGAAGACAAATATAGGACATCTTTGCTAATTCTTGCATTTTGTGTTTTGGAAGCCAACACTTCAATTTAACAGAAAATTGTTTTAACAATAGTTTAATGTAGTGTGGTAGTTTCACCATTTTTCTTTAAAGACAGTGCTACATTCGGTAATACTGGGAATAAACAAATATGGAAATTGCTAGAGGACCTAATTTTCTATCGCTGACACTTGGATTTAAATATGAACACTTGATGGGGTGGTTTAGATTATGATCCAGAAAGTTTGCACATCTCTAAATCAAATTACAGAAGGATTAGCTCAATAAAATAGTTTCATCTTAGTCAAACAAGGCACATGGTCTCATTAGTATTTAGTAACTGATTTTACCCCCCTGACTTAGAATTAACGTATGTGTTTGACACGCTGTATTTTTCTTACAAAGAAGCCTTAAATATTTGTTAGGTAGAGAAGTTAATTAATTTAAATTGCATAATCTTAGCGTATTAATTTCATTACTCTTTTAGAGATGGTGAGGGATTTATTATTCTGCAGTGCTCTAAGGTAAAAAGCATAGCCCTTCGTGCCCCATCAAGCCCCACCTATAGTTTGTTCAGCCGGTGTTGCTGACTCTGTTCACCAGCATCCGAGTGAGCTTAGGCCAGTAGACGAGAGCCAGCTGGCTGAAAATCAATCAGGATAAGACTGGGACAGTGATGATAGGTTACCAGAGCAAAGATTAAAGATGCTTCTCCTACTGTGGGAGTCTGCGTTTTTTAGGTCAGCAGTCCTGAAGAATCACGTCGTCTCCTCCGGGCAATGATCATATCACATATCCATAACCATCAGAGCTGCTGCTTACCTCTTCCTAAAAATAAGGTTTTCTTTCAGCTGCAAGTCGTCTACTCAGGGTTCATCTCACTGTTGTGCCTCACTTAGGTCCCAGCAAGGTACTTAAGGCAGCTTAAAGCACTCTGAAAACTGGAACAGGCAGAGAAGGCTGCAGCCCCTCGCTGAGCAGAGCATCCCTCTGAGCACACACCACCGATGCTGAGGGCTTTCCTTCGGCTCCTCGCTTGCCTCAATTCGACTTGACAGCCATCGGGGCTGGACCACAGTACTCCAGATTTCAGACTGTTTGCCCAGCGTTAAAGCACAATGAAACCCTTAAAATTATAGGTTATAAAGGAGCTAAGGTTACCGCTTATGTTTGAAAGACAGAATATTTAAAAGTTCTCACTTTACCAAACCATGATCTAGGCATTTCTGTCCCTTTTCTCACCCTCAGGCTCTGTCTCCCTCCCACCCTGGCAGCCCCTGAAGAAGGTACCAGTCGGCATTGCCACAGCCATCACCCTCTGGGTGTCTGGATGAGGCCGACAGCCCATCCACCTTATGGCCCCATTTGCAGGTGACAACCTAAGCAGGACCTGAACATAGGTGCACAGAGAGTACATGGAGATGTTCATGTTTGGACCCAGATATCTGACTAGAATAGAATAGAATAGTTCAGTTGGAAGGGTCCTGCAACGTTATATTTTAACCAATTTTTCCCCAATGTTAAATACCTTTAAAACAGACCAAAACTCAAGCATCAGTCTAAAAGAAATAAGAGTTTATTAGTCTTTAATTCATAGTTTATTCACTTCACCTGCATTGCAGTTAGAAGCACAAGCCGGGCAGCAATGTCCTGCTCCAATCCACATAACACATTTCAGTAAATATGCCTCTTGAAAGAAGTTAACTCAATGTGTTTTGTTGCAGATAATAAGAGTTTAACCATAGGAGTGTTGATAACTATTCTGTGCCTTATCTTTGCTGGATCAATCATGTATCTGAAAAGGAAGACTTTCATGAGATGGTTGTTTACAAGTAAAAAAACAACAATAGAGAAACTAAGGTATGACCATTTTCCCTAATTATACTTTAATAGATATTAGTAGGAAGTAGCTGTAAACATGGCAGCTCTCATCTTGACATTCATCACAGAACGGTGTGAATACGTTAGAAAGAGCCAGCCTTAACGAAAATATTCACCAAGTATTAACCGCGGTGTTTTTCCTGGTTTAGTTTAACTTTATTGATTGTCAGTAAATAATGTAGGTTTTGGTTTAACTATATACCTCTTTTCTTCTGTGGTAAAAAATAAAGAAGTGAAGGAAGTATTACCTCTATTTTCATTTGCTTGAAACAGTTTCATTACATTGCATGGCTTTTTATCTAAACTCAGTCGAGGGAGCTGCAACTTTCATATTTGAGGTCATTACTGTTTAAATGCTAGATTCATTAGAATAGTCTCTTGGGTGTTACAAAGCTGCATTTCCACAGATTGCAGAAGCTAATTTAACAGACTATTGGTTTCCAAAAAATCAATATTTATTTTTATTCTTGCAGGAGCACTAGACAATTTTTACTTTCCTTGTTTACTATGAAAAGTCAGAAAGTCCTTGCAAAATCTCATTCTGAAAAGAGGCTACTGTTTAAAAAAATGTTATAAAATAGAATGTTGTGTTCAATAAATATATGTTTGTATTGCAGGTCTGTGACTCCAGCAAGACCTTCAAGTTCATCTGAGCCTAATCATGTTCATACCACATCTCTCAGTAAAAATCTCATCATGAAGCCACAAAATACAAACATACAAAAAGTGAGTCCCTAAATAGTAAAAAAAAAAAAAAAAAAAAAAAAGAAGAAAAAAGTATACTATATATTTTGGATCTCATTTAAGTAATTTATTATAACACAATTATTACATGATCTTAATATCATGTAGAACTAACAATATGTAAAATGGGAGAAGATGTAGGCTTCAAAATATGTTTATGGCTTCCAAGTTTTAGACAGGTGGAGATGTCAAGTGCAGAAAAGAAAGAGTTTAGTCTCCAGGATAGAGCCAGCCAGCTTACACCAGAACACTACAGCTAAACGGTGAAGGATTAGCACTTGAGAAGGACTCTGGAAGCTGTTAATTGCTTCTCTGGTTGCAGAGGTGTTGAAGGTAGATGAAAGCAGAGTAGAAGAGAAAAGCAAGTGAATAACATTTTAAAGTAGTAATGCTTATGTCAACTCTGGATGTTTATAACTTTTTTGTTGGGGTGGGGCTGTTTTTATAGAGAGATGGTCCGAGACGACCACTGCCATATCAGATCATTGACATTAGTAACCCCGTGAAGACACACGATTTGCCACAATTAAAAACACCGCAGCGGGTCCTTCCGCCCCTTCCCCAGCTGCCATGCCATCACGCTGTGCCTGAAAGACCCTTGCCAGCTAACCCTTCGCTGAGGTTTGCCCAGGTAACTGCTGGTTTTCTTTTAGCTTCTCTTCTATTTAATGTTTAGAGTGTGAATATCTGCATGTGGTGAATAGGAATGAAGTGTTTTCTCATCTTTCATATTGGCCTTTTTCCACAGTATTTCCTTTATACTTTGTACAAGTTTAGAAATGTGTGTAGATAATTTCACAAAGATATCTTAAGTTCCCATTTTGCTCATGGAGATTATATTGGTTTATGCCAACTCAGGCTGTGATCCTAAAATTTAGGATCCTGAACTCTCTTTTCACCGCTCAAAAGACACAACAGAATAAACAAGCTCCATATTTCAGGCAAACACAGGCTCATCTTGCTAGCTGCCCAACCAGAGGGGAAACTGTACCGGTTGTTAGCAACTGCCAAATACAGTGATATAGTTTAGGAAGTCAGGCTGCAGATGTCTTGAGCAAGAGCAAAAGGTATATTAGCTTGATGCGCTTCTGTTCTGCCGAGGGGTGTATGAATTGCTTTTTTTTTTTTTCCCAGAGCGCAGATCTGAAAAGCAGACTTGTAATTACCCACACTATTTCATGTAGACGTACCTCTCATTGCAATGTTTAAATAGAGCTGGTAACCCTTTTTTTTGTAATAAGATGCATCTCAAGGCGATGTTCAGGGTAGATGAAGTTGTCTGTGCAGTTGTCTGTATTAAATTGACCCTTTTCTTGTCACTGGCCTCTCTCTTTTGGTTGCATTTGTAGCGTGACTGTGTCTAAGCAAAGGAATCAGGCACCCAGCTATCTCTGTTTTGTAGACATGGTGCTATTCTGGATACAGTACCAGATTAAAATGAAGCGAATGTTGTCATCACCAAGCTATCTTAAATGAGTATCCCATTGATTTGCACATACTGCAAACCCGTACTGAAATAGCTGGGTCTTGAGTGACTGTCCCTATCCGTAACCTCGCCAGGATGTCCAAGGACAGAGCACCGTCTTCATGCAGCAACCTTGTGAGCTGCATTGAGACACCTTCCCAATGATTTACAGGAGGATATGGCTATGAGAAACTGTTGCTGCAGTGCAGTGCTTTGAAAAGTGTCGTAAAGAGAACACAGGAACCAAGAGGGATGAGACAGTGCTGAGCTGCCATGGCAGTGTGCTTACGTATTGTGACAGCAGAAAAACTGTATCTAGTTTTGATTTTGTCCAAGTCTGAACATTGAATCATTCGGGTTAAACCAACTTTTATAAGTTTATTAATTGCTTTGGAAGTATTTAAGCTTTTCTTTTCTTCCCTTTTCCATCTTGCTGGCCATTTATTTTCCATCTCAGGGGAATGGGAAATACCGATTATTTCTAAAATCAATTTTATAGGAAATCTGAAGTATTATTTGTTTGTGTTTCTTTTGTCTTTAGCTCCAATGGTTGTGTTGTTTATTTTCTCGTATTCCTTTAAAAGTTCTGCATATTTCACAGTGGTCAAAGTTAAGATTTTAAGTACAAGTGCTTTTCTGTTTCAATCAAATAGTTCCTTTAAAAAAAAAAAAAAAAAAAGAAATGTCTTCTTTTTCTTCTTATCTAGCAACTTACAAGCTTACACTGTCTCCCGCTAGCAGAAGACAGATGGAGAAAAGGCTTTCCAAGAAAAAGCAGTCATTTCTCATTCTGATGGTGCATCTGTATCGCCCCAGCCTGTCATCGCACATCAAAGCCGCCCAATGCACCACTACAATTCATGTTCCTAAGTGCCCTCCCCTTCAAATCCCACATAAAGGGCAAGGTAGAATACCAGATCTCTAGTACTATCATTACCAAAGATGACAGATCTGAAACTGCCAAAAAGCTTTTCAGTTTGGCAGTTCAAATTAATTGTGACGGTTACTCCATCAAGCAAAACATCGCTGTTTTCCATTTTCAGTTGCTGCATGAAACAGAAGTAGGACAAACAGGGGATCAACTCAAGGCAACCTAGTGAATAAGCAAGAGTGGCTTCTTTCAAAATTATGTCCATAACCTCAATTCCAGGTTGTCAGAAATAGCCACTTTTTATATCTTAGGGACACAGAAAACACTGTATGGGAAGAAAACCTTTTCTTCTGAAGTTAACGATTTTACTCCCTCAAAGCTTGGAAGAAGTAAATTAACTTGAGAATAGTTTTGGTCTAGTTTATATAGATACTACTTAATGTATTGCTTCAGCACTCTCTTGGAACTGCATCCATCAGGTCATCAAGAGGAAGCATTTTAAAAATCATTGCTACATTCATAATATCATCCAGATGCGCCGTACTGCAGTATAGTGCTGAAGAAGAGTATCTGAAACCATTCACTGTTTCTATGGCTTCGCAGCTGCCTCCTTCTGCTTCTCCCTTCTGAGAGGTATATTTAAGCACGAGCTACTTTCCTGCTGCTCTGGGCTTACAGCAGTGAATAGCTGAGGCACAACATACTAAGCAGACTCTAAGACAACTCTTTTCCCCTCTAGTGGCTGTTGAGACTAGATTATTATTTTGCTATAAAATTTCCTTTCAGATGCAAGTAAAATGGTAAAAAAACCCACAACAAAACCTAAACAAAAAAAAAAAAACCCACACTTAGCAAATGAACTGCTGCCAAGTTTAATATTTAACAATCTTTTAACTGATAAACAGCTTTTTCTTCTTTCAGATGCTCTCGCAAGGCAAACATACTTTATTTATGGGCCAGATTCACAGTCAATATAAATCAGCACAGCACCATTGAAATCAAGGAAACGGTGCAGGTCTATACTAACCGTGGGTTCAGTCCGTGCATTCCGATTTGAGCTCTTCCACATGGTCTTGTTACTGTTTGTTAGCATTCAGTTGCTGCCTCAGATACTGTCATCATCTTATTACCAAAATATATCTCACATTTTACAGGTCATCCTTACTACTGGAAATATAGCTTTGTATTTTTGCTTTTCCCCTAGTAAAATTGAGCTGGGCTCACCTTGTGCTCATTCTGCCACAGTTATTCCTGTGAATACCTCTCCTATGACGCCTTTGACTGGCTTTAGACACTGAGGGCTAACACAAATTAAGTTCCCATCTAAACAGATTGAGGAAGACACCCCTTCTCACCCAGTGCATTTCAGGCAAGAACCTTATTTAAAAATCAGTGAAAAAAATTAAAGCTTCATGCACCTGATGTCTTTGTAGCTGCTCAATATGAGAATTACATTTTTCTTCCTAGCAGAGCTGTAAAAAGAGATCATCACAATATTTAAAACAATACTTCCCCAAATAGAGACAGAATGCATTAAGTTGTTGAGATAAAACTGGACAAATACATGCATCCATAAACTCTTTGTATTAAAGAGCTGAAGCTCTGTAGGGGAAAAAAATAGGCTGGGAGAAAGGAGAGAGAGATGAAGCAGGGAAGCACAGCCATGGTGGTACTGTGAGCTGTGCTACGGACTTGCCAGGACATCAAAGGCTACAGCAAGTTTCCACACATCTTAACATACAAAGCTGTATCAATTTGGATTCTCCTGTGGCACATAAAGAATACAGAAGACCATCCTATAATCAGTTTGGGGGAGGGGGTTTATTGCTTAAAGTATTTTTTCCTCTGCTTCTAAGGATGTATGTTTTCCTGGTGGCATTTTCTGGTGCTGGCGTCTCCTTTCTATGAAGTGCTCCTCCATTTTACTTCATCTCAGCCATTACACATTCTCCATCTCCATTTTTATCTAAATTCCCTCCCTTCTTTTTTTTTCTTCTTTCTTTTACCCCTTCTTACTAGCTTGCCATATTAGACTCTCTGTCAAGCCACTTTGCTGCTTCCTCCTTAAGGATATTAACTCAAGGATGACATTTTTACAAGCTCGGGGAAAAGAAAAAAGAAGTGAGGTGTTGGCCTTGTGTACCCGTCAGAGTTATATTTATAGTATGATTGCTGTTTCGACATACTTCCTCACGTGGATGTTTCTTCTGGAATAAGGGGGCCTAAAGAATTAGTTTAGCTTAGGCATCAAAGATTATCTTAATGCTTAGCTGTGAGCAGATGCTCACTCCACAGCTGAAGAACTGTTCTAGACCAGCACATATGGATTAGCCATTTCAGCTAGCTTCCCCTGCAAAAAGAGGGGGGGGAGAGGCAACTGATAGGGTCCCATTAATACCTAGCTGCTCCGAGCTTCTCGGAAAGTCAATCCTTCCCTACTATCAGGTGTGGCAGGCGGTGATTAGACATAGGACACAGCTAATGAACACAACCAAATAAACAGGGGCAGTTCTCTCTTTTTGTTCATTCATCCTTACCAGATCTTAAGCTCTTCAGACCTTTGTTTCTCTAGACTGTTGAACCTGGATTGGTTCCTCTTCCCAACTGGTACCTAAGCATTCTGCCAATTGAAGATTAAATACAAATCATGCAATAACAATTAGGGACTGATCGAGCAAACAGCTGAATACTCATGTGATCAGACTAATTCACATGATTAATCCTGTAAAAGTCCTTGAGGGAAAAGGCCACTTCTATGAAGGCAGTCAAGGGAATAAAGCCTTTATGGTGTTCGAAGACGCATTTGTCGTTTGCTGTCTTTATAATGCTGCTGTCTGTGCGTTGGTTACAACTCTTTTTTTTAAATGCTGTCACACTCGAGCTGATGATGCATATACTCTCCCATGTAATATACATTATGACTTTTAACAAAATTATTACAGAAGCAACTTAAATTTATATTTTACTGTAGCGATAATTCAGTTATTTAAAAAGTATCAGTTTCTGCTGTGATCTAACTTGTTCCAAACTGGTATATTTCACTTCAAAACACACACATTGAGATTTCATCGTGTAAGAAATGTAGTGCACAAAGTAAACTTCAGCTAAGAAATCCTGATGGTAAGATTTCTTCTCTTAATAGTTTTAAGGTTCTAGTTCTGTATCATGGGAAATGATCATGTTTTGAAGAACTTCCTTTGCTACTGTTTAATTAAACGCTGTGACTTTCAACAGGATAGCCCTATGAGGTAAAGCTACATCAAGTATTTACAAGCATGCCATTTATTTCATCATTTTCCAGGCCTGATTATCTCAAGAATATTTGCAATTATTTTTACCCCCAAAGACAGAGCTCACAGACAAACTTCTTACAGCAAGATATGTTTATCTTGATTTAGAGGAAGTTCTTGTGGAAGATAGTCAAGACTAATTTTTATACTGACTATGAGATTTGGCTATAACAATAAGTTAAAATAAGAAATTTTTTTCATGTTGCTATTTCTGATTCACTCAAGAACTAGTACGTGTTATATCAAGAGTGAAAAAGAAGAGGGACGTTATAAAGTCCCTCTTTTTAATAAGACATTATTAAAAAGAAGAGGGACAGCTTTAAAATGTAGTTTGTGGTAAATCTGAAATGACTGTATATGAGGTTTACTTAAGCTCCCATATTTTCTTCCTTATCAAAATGCCTACTGACAGAAAACCTGCACTTCCTTCTTGAAAGAGCAAACATTTGCCATGAAAAGTAAGAAAACAAAGGGATGCTCAAAACGAATACTGAAAAGTTGTACTTTATTCATGAGCAATTCATGCCTCTGATTGCTTGTTTTGATTACATCTTTCAGGGGATCTTTAACCAGATTACGCTTGTAAGCTCTTCTTGTTTCTTTTTGGTCAACTTTACTAATGATAGTTATGGCAAACTAATAATAAAGACCAAAATCAGTTAGAAAAAGCATGACTATGCTGTTCAAATAGTAGAAGGATCTGAAGTGAAGTTTTGGATATATTGGAGAGTTTTTGTGTGCCCTGAGCAAGTCACTTAATCTATCCCAGTTCTTCATAATGAAGACCACAAATAGACATGTTACCATGTTTGCAGTGTTTCAAGGACCACACAGAAGAGACATTAGCTCATGCCTGACAGCAGATGACTTCTGTTCTTTATTAATGAATCATTTAATTCCACAGAATGAAAGCACAGCAGCATCTCTAAAAAAAATTCCACAGATGCTACCAATTCAAACTGGACTTGAGCAGTTTGGTTTTGTAGTCATCTGAATTTGCATTTTAAAGTCATTTCTAGTATTTCCATCTTTCTGTATAATTACTTTTACAATGTTATGTATTCAATCTATGTTGTTTTTGTTTACCACCAATTAATCATTAACTCCAGTATAGATGCACCCAGTATTTCCAGAGTAAAGAATCAAAAGAAACCAAATCATTAAAATATAGTATTAAATCTTTGTTTTAAAATATAAGTGCCTGTTTATTAATAAGTTATGGCTTACTCATTTAAATATATGTGGTCACAACTACTCCAAACTTATCTTCAATTTATCTCGGTTGTTCTTGTATTAAGTATGTTATGTCAATTCCAAAGACTAATATGACCTTATGCTTTATAATAGGAAAACTCCAAACCCAACCCTCCTCGGAAGCCTCTACCAGCAGACCCTCTGAACAAAGCGCGCTATAACAGTGCATGCACAGCAGTGCCTGGACACACAAAAGCTCTGCCTCACGTTACTCCCGTAAGGTTGGTTCTCCTAATCAAAATGGCTTGATTTATAGCACTTCGTTCAATGACAGGTCTAAAATGTCTTGAGTGACTATGCTCTGCTGTAACTATTGCTGCCAGCTACGCAACAACCATTTTCTATTTGCTTATATCAAAGCACGCAGTATCAGACTGATTCTCTCTGGGAGTACATCAGCACAATTGCACTGACTTCCACAGAAGTATGAGAATTTATACTACATATGAAGGTTTGACTGTAAGCATCTGACCGTGTATTTACAAAAACTGCCCAATAAATACAGTTCCTTCTGAAAGAAAGGAGTTAATAAGCACCAATTTCAAGAGAAGCAAAGCTCTTGCAGAAAAAAATTGCCTACTCAGACCACCTACAGAATTAGGCTGAGAACTGAATGCTGTTAAGATCAACCACCAATAAAAGCAATTTTCCATTCACACATTTCACAATGGAACATCAATTTATATCATCTGAAAATAATACCCAAAACTTTCAGAAAGCATACAAATTGTACAAAAAAAGGGATGTTGAAAAAACATAATCTGGAAGTGAAATAACTATGCCCAATATTAATGGGCGTAGTCAATGATATTTTCTTACCCAATATTCTTGAGCTTCCTACAAATAAAAAGTGAGCTCCATGGAAGATAAAAGTAGTATTTTCAGCGACAAGAATTCCACTAGCGAGGCACTTAACATTGCTCAGAAAAATTAAAAATAGAATCAAGTTAGTTTCCTAATATTTCTAGCAAAAAGACTGCAAGAGTGAACTTTGGTTAAGCTCCTGGCTGTCCATTCTACTAAGATATTCTGAAAGTAATAATATTTCAAGCTGACTGCTACAACTTTTTGAAACCAGCTGCCACTCTACAGCATTAAGTAGCATTTTTGAACAGATGCAAAATTGATGAGCACCCAAAGAAATAAAGAGTTTAAAGAACAACTGAGATAGCTTATCCCACTGACCAAGCAGCAATTAACACCTGAACCAAAAAAAAGGAGTCTGTTGGTACCACTTACGCTTCTTGATGGGACTTGTCTATATGGTAACGTCTGATCTCCTCCCAGTACGAGAGTCCTACGCTACGTGTCTGACGTTAGCTTCGATAACTCTCTCTAAGAGGTTTTGCCATTCATCTTCATGCCACAAGCATGATGCTGGCAGTGAGAACTAACAAAAGTTTAAATAACAATTTGCTATTTTCTTTCTTTCCGACAGACCTGCTCCTAAGCATCCACCACAGGTATCCAGGTCCAGCAACACTGCTGATGTGAAATGACTAGAAAATCTGACACCTTTATTTTAAAAAGTGAAGACAGAAGTTTGCACTATCTTTAAACTCCAGCTGGAGTTCATTTTTATGACAATACTTAGAATTTTTAATGTTTAAAACAGCATTATTTTTAAGAATTCTGAGCTACTGCCTTTGGTGCTGTGCTGTGCTATGGTGCTCTGTATACTTGCTCAGGTACTTGTAAATTATTAATTTATGTTGAATATTTATTACAGTGCAGTGCACTGTAGTAGATATTTTTACCATAGCTGAGTTTTCCTAAAAAGGAAGCCTTTTTTGTAATATTTCATTGAACTTGAATAATTCTGCTCTATTGGTCCTATGTAGAGTGTTTAGTTTTGATCTATTCTTTAAGGAGTGCTGATACTCATGGATAAATCAAATGTATAAACAACTCAATCTCAATGGTTCATAGGAAACTTTTGAATAAATATGTCAGGGTAAAAAAATCTCTTCTGGAACATGATGAAATGCCCGATATCTGCACACAGATGTGTAACACATGTATTTAACCAAAGTATCACTCAGTGTTAGCAGTTGTACTGTAATTTCAGTTTTCACATCACTGTTTGAAATCGTCGAGAAATCTGTGCTGAAAGAGGATGTATTCACTTTGGACAAGTTCTCTTACTGAAGAAGTACTGTATATCATAAAACTGTATTTTTTTTAACCTCATTTGCCTCGGACACAATATGGTTAGTACATATTAATGCAGATATCGGGCCTTCCAGTGTCATTACCTTTTTGATGCTTTGGTAATTAAATTCAACTATACTGTGTAAGGTGGTACCATCTCACTATGTTGCATAGCTGTCCTGGTTAGACTGACAAAATATTACACGCAGGGGGTGGGGGAAAGCCCAGCATTACAAAGAATTACATTTTAAGAATCAACTATTATACTTATTTCTTTTGCCTCATCGCTCTGCTTATCAACTGTATTTTGCATATTTACTACTGTTTTGTATTTAACTTCTAGAATATTGTTCTGGGTTTCTTAATTTTCAAATCAAAATGCATATTTTAATACATAGACTTTGGTTATAGTAAGACATGGAAAAAAAAATTTAATGTCTTTGCTATGCGGTAGCATTACATCTCATCTCTTCTGTACCTTCTCAGTAGCACTGTATTCTCAGTTGAATACAGTTGTTTCACCTATGCTGTAATAAAACCAATTTTCAAATATCAGTTGAAATAGAGGGAGAAGGAACTATTACCTTATATAGGTTAGTTTCTTCATTGCTTGTAGTTTTTGTTTCTTTAAGCAAAAATAAAAGCATTGATAGAAACTTGGATCTCATTTCAGTAAGTGTAATTGTATTTAATTTTCCCAGTTATTCCCCATTGTAGCAATATAGCACTCATGTTTACGGATAAACTAAATAAACCATAGTTTAGTTTGTTGATGAATAGCAAAATAAAACACAAGTAAATGCTTCACAAAAGCATTTCAATTCTTAAAGCAACCCTGATAGTAACAACAGTGCCTTATGAACGGAGAATCACTACAAGAGTATCCTAGGCTTGGCAATGCAGTTGAAACCAAAATGATGCTTTTTATGTATATTAGATATTTTGTATTTAAAACACTAACTTCTTCCTGTCAACAGTAGCTTTATCTCTAAAATGGGGGGGTGAAGGGGGCATCTCAATTTGAAGTAGAGACATGATCTCAGTTTGCTTGTTTGAATACTTGTCATTTTTAGAATGACAAGTCATCATGCTGTATCAAAATGTGTCTGATAACCACTGAAAATCATAAGATGAAACTGTAAGTAGTGGAAGAAGAAGGTGAAATTAAATGGCTAAAAAGTTTGTAATATCTGTTTGCATCAGCAGTTCTAACATCTGAATTTAATGGCACCAGCTCAGGTAAGACTTAGCACATGTACAAACTTAAAGCTTTAAAGTAAGCTTTAGGTTTAAAATAAACGTGACCCAGCTATGCAGTCTTACGGAAATAGAAATATCCATACAGGGCACCCAATCCTATCCCTGTAATTGCAAGCAGCCATCTCACCAACACTGAGTCCAGAACAGTCCACAGACCTGTGGACCCGAGCACAGCAAAGCTGGAATGCTTCTCAGGTGATGCTGAGAACCTGTTGGACATACAGGTGAGTGCCTCTTCCCTTCTTCCCCACCACACACACAAACGCTTCTTCATGTATGGAGGAAGACAGTGGAAGAATGATGATAAGGACACTGCGTAGGTGTCCCCAGTCCCAGCACAGCAGAATTTTTAGATTAAAATAACCTGGATGGTCTTGCCCACTGGCTTGTATCCCTCAGAGAGCCCCATACCTGGCTGTTAGCGTATTCCTGAGCTGAAGAACAGCACAAGGATCAACACACGCTGCCTGGTATCACATATGCTGTTGCTAGAGGAAGAAAGTCCAGCCATTCATCGTGGATGAGGTGTGAGAGGACATCCCTGGTTTCTGCAGCTGAGCAGCAGGAGCCCAGCGGCACTAGGGCATCATTAATGTAGTGCCTTTTACTGGCTTTAACAATTCAACAAGAGAGACAGAGCGCACACGCAATCTGGGAAAAAATATATTTGTGAACAAGGTGTGAACTAACTGCTAAAAACTGATCACTAAGCAGAAAAATTTATTAACACTTTTCTAAAACAAGCAGCTGAAGCATGTGTATCCAGTGACAAGGAACGTAGTTTTACACTTGAGTGCATGGTTATATGTACATACTATCTAATGAAGTTACTATCTTATGTTAGACACAGCTAAAGGTAGAGATTTCTAGCCGTTTGGAAAAAAAATCATAATTCCTATCTGAAACAAGGGCAAACAAACCCGAACATCCTGTAAAAATGACTACCATTACTTGAAACCAACACAAGGTTATTTACTGGCATACTACAAGCTGATTTTTTTTCATAGCAAAATGGATGAGTAGGTGCAATGTATACAACAGTCATATAATCTGGAATCTCTCCAATTAGCAGATATGCAAATAGATTTATACATATTCAGACGCAAAATACTACAGGCAGAAAAAGATCTGTAGCTTTTAGAGGGGGAAGAAAGCCAAACCCAAGCTATCAAATACTTCTTTTGTTTTGGTGCAATTTTTTTCCCCAGGATGTGAGTAGTAGCTGGCTGTGTGATGTTTTCATACCAAATTAGTGTCTTTATGATTAGACATGCAGATGTCATGTAAAATTCCATTGTGAAAACCAGATGAACGGTTTTACATTCTTAAGGACAGTGTAAGCAAACAAATTACCATGGGATACACCAGGGTGTGAAATTCAACATTTGCTACTCTGTGGTAGCTGCTCAGTGTATGGACCTCTAGTATCTGGTTATAAAGAAGTGCTGTCAGCACAGGCTTTAAGTCCTGTCATAATATATTCATCTATCTTTATGCTCAGCAATCTAACTTTTAAATCACCTTTACGAATTAAGAAACATCATCCTTTAAACCCTCAGGTTTTTATACTGTTCAATTTATCTTTGTGGGAGAGATCTTCTGAACAGACCATGCTGATATCTACTTTTCCATTCTGTCTTCTTCTTCCATACACATATTTCAGCCTCCTGCCTACCCAACATGAGACACAGATCTAGGCAAGTCCCCTTTCCAGAGGCAAGGCAAGAACACAGTGTGCTCTCCCTAAAGCATTGCATGACAATGCTGCTATTATGCTAATCGATAGAACAGTAAGTACAAAACACCATCAAAGAAAATGAATAAATATGCAGCAAACAAAAAGAAAATTGCGTATTTACCCTCTTTCTCCCCATCAAATCTCTCAGCTTCAGTATTCCTAGATTTTTTTAAGAGCTATCAATTATCAGAGTAGCAAAAGTTTTTTCAATTTCATGGAGTATTTTTAGAGCCTTTTCAAAAGCTCAGAAAAGAAACAGATACATAGCTTTTTTCTTAGTTTCAATTCTTATTTCTTTTGATCATTTGAGTATACAATACTAATTCTTCCAATCCAATAACAGTATTTTTTAACTTAACTATAAATTACCATGTAGCAGTAAACAAATTCATTCTTTATCTTACAAGCATTCTCCAAAATACAATTTTCTAAACTCAGTAATGCTAAAACTCATCCTGCACACAGACCATCTTTCCAGATAACTATACCACACATTACCAAAAATTAAAAATGCCCCATACATTACAGGCAGCTGCCCTTTTCATATAATACTTTTAAGAGAGAAGCATTAAAAATTTAGAGCATATTGAGATAAAGTTTTGAACGCTTGGAATTCAGTTAACTCAGAAATTGAATACCCAACATCACCATCACAACAAAGATTTGTTTCTTTTCCATTATCCTCTTTTTTTTTTTTTTTTTTTTTTTTTTTTTCTGAAGCAATATGCAGGTATTGTGTGTATGTACAAACGAACAATAAATTTTTAATCTTTACTACATGTCTAAACTTTACATATCTAAATTTATATCCTTTAATGTAGTTATGAGTACAAAACTTTCTGGTGCATAGCATGAGCACAGGAATAATTTTACATATTTTTAAATCTAACATTACAAAGTGTTTCCTGTGATTGTAAATAATCAAACTAAGAGAAGGAACAGAAACATTTTAAAAGCACTTTAAGGCAGGCTATCTAAAAATACAAAGCATATTTTTCATTTGAAAAGGTGCTACTGTTAAAAAAAAAAATTTAGGAGTGGTGCGTAATTAACAGTTTAATAGGTCACTACAGACTGTTTGTGGTATGAACGCAGGTAAACCAGCATACCATTTTTGTGAACCATTCATTTACAATCATTCAGTTAAACTTCAGTTTGCTAAACTTTTCACAGCCTATGCTATACAGCAGTTTTTTACCAATGCAGCAGGTTTTAACTTACGTGTGCATTTCTAGTAGAACCTTCCACTTGAAGGTGCTTCAAGCAAACACAATCTGGTAACTCGACAGCTGAACTATCTGCTCATTCTTAAGTACTATCTCTCAATAAATACATTCTTAATTATATTTGGTGTTTTGCCTATGTAATTACCCAAACGGTTAAGAAAATGCCAGAATTTCCTCAACATAAAATAAAACGTGCTAAGAGAAAAGGGCATCTTTCTGCATGTAAGTTCTCACTGCTTCAAGTATACATATCAAATTAAAAAAAAATACTATGCAATAGATTGCCACCTTCTTGTACGTACCTTTCATTGGCATGTCACTGATATTTATATGTGCAGATATTCCCAGGACATTTTTCTTCAATTAAACAGCACTGAAAAAGGAGGGGATTTGCTAAATAGAAGAACATCAGTTAAACCAAGAAAAGCATCCCATTGAGAAAAAAGCCATTACCTGCATTGGCTATCCTGCAAACTGAAACCACAGAAAGAGCTGGGCCCAGAAAGAGCATGTATAGAGACACAGAACATAAAGTGACTACCACTAAGCAGAAAGTCTCACACAGCAGCCTTTGTTCAAGTGATTACAGAGCAGAAATTTAGTACTGCAGAAGTAGCTTACCTGCTTCTCCACAGGCCAGAATTAGCTTTGGGCAAGTACACTAGACAGGTCACTTTTCAAGATTTTAAGTATATGCATTGAATGGCCTCGCATTAGCTGTGGTTTTGGCAAATTTGCAGGAGCAGGGGAATCATTACCCGCAGACCCTTTTCATTGTAGAAAATGTAAGCAATGTGTACATACTACTACTTTTATTTCACACTATTTCCGTGTGAATGACCCTGTGGGGAAAAAATAAATACCTGATTAAGCTATATATTAGATAATGCTTTATTTGGAGGAAAGGACCGTATTTTTTTTTAAAAAAAAGCAACTTCTTTAATTTTGCATTTTTCAACACTTGACTTTGCAATCTTGATGTTTCTTGGTAGAAAAACATCCAAGACTACTTTTTAAACCCTGCAAACACAGGAATCATACCTTGTGGCATGCCAGACTCTACCTGATCACCCTTGTTTGTAATAAGCAGCAGCAATAGATGGCCTTCCACAAGCAGCACTGGGTAGAAGACAAAGCATGTATTTGATTATCAGTGTCACAAATGCTTGCTGCCAGCAAACGGACCACAGAAATCCTGCATCTTTGTTCCATCACAGCCAGAATGACTTTCTGACTCCCTCCAGATCCCCGTGACACAGTCCAAGTCTCTTTGCCTGCCATTCCCAAATTTGTCCCTGCTCTGAACGAATTGCACTCCTTTCTCCCCGTCCAGGTTTCTGTGAAAACTTCCTAAACTACTATAGTTTGAAGTCTGCATCACATAAAGAAGAATTAACAGAAAACTAGGCGCCACCATTTGCTGTGGTTTCTTTGGA